AGATGCTGACCCGCGGGTCACGACTCCGAAAGTGGCAAAATTGGGCGGTTAGCGGAATGCTTCCAAATTCACACAGTTTGCTGAGGGAGGGCCCCGATACCTTGTAAGCATTGGTGCCTCTGCCGGAGCCGTGGAAGGGGTGTCTGGGAAAGGCGAGCGAAATCTGTCCAAAATGCTGTGAAAAGGCCCGAGCTGCTGACCCGCGGGTCACGACTCCGACAGTGGCAAAATTGGGCGGTTGGTAGAACGCTTACAAATTCACAGAGTTGCTGAGGGAGGGCTCCGGATACACTGCTTGTGTCGGCGCCTCTGCGTGAGCCCTGGATGTGGTTTATGGGGAAGACGAGCAAAATCTGTCCAAACTGCCGAAAAAGTGCCCGAGATGCTGTCCCGCGGGTCACGACTCCGAACGAGGTAAAATTGCGCGGTTGGCAGAATGCTTCCAAATTCACAGAGTTTGCTGAGGGAGGGCTCCCGATACCCTGCATACGTCGGTGCCTCTGCCGGAGCCCTGGAAGTGGTTTCTTGGGAAGGCGAGCAAAATATTTCCGAAATGCCGAAATTAGGCCCGAGATGCTGACCCGCGGGTCACAACTAGGAAAGTGGCAAAATTGGGCGGTTAGCAGAGTGCTTCCAAATTCACACATTTTGCTCGGGGAGGGCCCCCGATACCTCCATGCGTCGGTGCCTCTGCCGGAGCCCTGGAAGTGTTGCATGGGGAAGGCGAGCAAAATCTCTCCAAACTGCCGAAAAAGGGCCCGAGATGCTGACCCGCGGGTCACGACTCCGAAAGTGGCAAAATTGGACGGTTGGCAGAATGCTTCCAAAATCACAGACATTGCTGAGGGAGGGCTCCCGATACCCTGCCTGCGTCGGTGCCTCTGCCGGAGCCCTCGAAGGGATGTCTGGGGAAGGCGAGCAAAACCTTTCCGAAATGTCAAAAATAGGCCCGAATGCTGACCGGCGGGTCACGACTCCGATAGTAGCAAAATTGGGCGGTTGGCAGAATGCTTCCAAATTCCCAGAGTTTGCTGAGGGAGGGCTCCCGATACCCTGCATGCGTCGGTGCCTCTGCCGGAGCCCTGGAAGTGTTGCATGGGGAAGACGAGCAAAATCTGTCC